GAGGCATGGCGCGGCCGGTGCGCGTGCGGACCTGGGTGCGGGAGAACCGGGCCTCCTTCCTGCCCCCCGTGTGCAACAAGCTGCTGTGAGTGCCGGGCTCGCCCCCCCCGCCCGCGGTCCCCCGCGCCTGGGGCAGAGCGTGGGCTGTTCGGGGCCCACCGCCCTTGTCTGTTCCCCTTTCGGGCGGAGACCGCGACCTTGGCGTCTGAGGACGGCCGGGCGAGCTGGGCGAGGGCAGACGCAGAGGGCAGGTGGCAGCTTCCCCTCCAGGGCTGAGACTCCTCTCCGCCCCCGGGGACCCTCGGAAGCTTGAGCCCAGGCCTGGGGACAGGCCAGCATGCGCCAGCCCCCCCTGTCCAGGAGGCCACGGGAAGAGGGGGAGGACCAGCCACTCTGGGGGGTGATGTCCCGCTCTTCCTAGGTCCCCTCTGTGCCGGTGGTCGCGCCCTCCCTACACTCTCCCACTGGGCCCTCCCCAGCCAGCTCTGCCCATAGCACCCAACAGGGCTGGTGGTGGTCCAGCCCCTCTTTCTCCAGCAGGCCTCTCAGGCCCTCCCTGAGGCCCCTTCACCTCCCTCCCCTTCCCCGGGCTCCCCAGCTCCAGGCTCACAATCCCATGTTTGTTGTGTCCACAGAACATCTCCAACAGGGTGACCCCTCGAAGGACACAGTTACAATCACTAATCCTTTGACAAGCGCTTTAACACCATCTCATTTAATTCTCACAGTAGCCCCAGGAGGTGGGATTTTAATAGGCAACTTTCCCAATGCCAGGGAGCTAGTGTGGGACAGGGCCCTGACGCAAGCCCATGGAGGACTTTGACTCTAACAGGCAGCACCTCCCCAAAGCCTCATCACCCTCACTGCTCCCCCTCTTCGTCCATGTCCAGTCTCACTCTCAGTCCTCCAGTTTCTCCCCTAATGGCGTCTCATATCCATCTGCTTCTCTCCAGCCCTCAGGCCACTGCTCTGGTTCCACCCTTGTCACCTCCAGCCTGGAAGGTGCAGGCTGCCCTGCCTCCAGGTCCCCCCACCCAGTCCTGCAGCGCTGCCCCAATATTAGTAATCACAAAACGCGGGCCCTCCCTTTAGTCACTCAGCAGATGTTCACTGAGCACCTGCTACCTCCCAGGCACTGTTCTGGACACTAGACATACAGCAGGGAACCAACTGACAGAAGTCCCTTCCTCAGGGAACTGACATTCCAGTGGGAGGAGGCAGCCACTAAATATAATCAAACCAGGTGGGGGCCCAGGCAGACCTGGTGGCTTTCCCCGTGTTGGAGAGGGCTGTGAGGGAAACTCCGCTCCCAGCCTCTTCTGGTTCCTGGTGGCTTGGTGGTGATCTTTGCGCGTCTTGGCTTCTGTCGCATCACCCCCATCTCTGCCCTCATCTCATACGGAGCTCTCTTGTGTGCCTGTGTCTAACTCTCCCTTACTGTAAGGACTTCAGTCATAGTGGATTAGGTGTCCGTCCTGCTCCAGTACGACCGCATCATAGCTTAACTAACTCATCTGTGACCCTATTTCCAAATTAGGTTACATTCTGAAGGACTGGGGATTAGGACTCCAACATATGAATTTGGGGCGGGGGGGG